GCAGTCGGGGAAGTAAACGACACCAGAGACGAGCTCGCCTCTGCCTAAAGACCGAGCCTCCCGTTACGAGAGCAGACCTGCTGCCTTCCGCAGGACCCAACAGGCCGCTGCCCTCGGCGGCCGCCTCCGTACGGGCACCGCACACACTCGGCACTCTGCTTCCCGAGGCGAGGACCGGAACGCAAACCCGATCCAACGGCCTCCAGTGCTTCAGGAAGCCACCTCCGTCCGAGTCAGCCCATCACGTCCGTAACACTTGTACCAGAGCCTTCGGGAGATTCCCGACAGCGCTGTTAGGAGATGAAGTGAGTCTGTGGGGTGATTTGTTCCAACTTGTGATCAGCTGGGTTTGCCGACGCTTCGTAATTGCAGATGGTGACTTCGTGGCGGTGAGCCTGAATTAAGATTAAACGTGTTAGTCCAGAGGAGAGCAGAATTCAAGTCCCTCCTAAAACACCTGACTGGCGGGAGCTGAGCAGGTTCCCATCTTACAGACTTTTCATCGCAGACCTTCCATCCCCACCCCCACACTACCCTCACCTTCTTCCTCACCGCTAGAGCTCAACTTAAGCTACGATTTAAAGGCCTTTTTACACTATTAGCACAGTCTTGCTCATCTCTGCTCTCACCCACCTCCGTCCACTCTCCTTTCAGGCCTATATAAAAAATCTTCGTTGTCTCCGCTCCAAAGTTCTTCGGAAAGTGGATGGAGAGGTGGCAAACATTGGAGAAACGGGCAATTCTGAAAGAAAACACACTCTGAAACCGGAGCTGCGCGTACAAGCTGCCACTCTGCTTGCCTTGCCGCCTCCTCTCAGCACGGCGCCGTGGCCCCGCGCCGTGCGTAGCTCCTACCCTAATCCGAGTCAGACTTGGGAGCAAATGCACGAGGGTGCAGGAGGAGCAGCCTCCCTCACGCTTGCGGTGAACGGGCCAGCAACAAGCTGTCACTGGGGCCAGGAGCAGGGGACACGACACTGGGATGATCCTGCACCCCGAGAAGTCCTGGGCTGTGGGCGCAGGCACCCCCCCCGGCTCCGGGGAGGAGGTTTTCAGACCAGAGCGCTCACCTGACGAGGGCAAAGACGGAGCCGGGGAGGCAAATTCTACCGTGGGCAGCTTTGAGATGCAAGGGAAGGAGCTGCCCTCTGCTAACACCTTCCTAAAATTTGGCGGCACACCAGCAGGCTGGATAGAGTGCAGCCCCTGTGCTCGGGAGGAGCAGCCCCCCGCACCCCCCAGGCGCTCGGGTCTGCATCGTACTTGGTGGGGTACTCCAGCTCGCCCGCTGGATCCCGGTTCAGGCTGAAGGTCTGGTCCGGTTCCCTGGCTGCGTCATCAAAGGACATGTGAGGAATGTTCTTGAACCTGGGAAGAGAGGGAGGAAACCCAGGAAGTTATTAACACACAGGTCAGCTAATTGGTTTCCTCCCCATCCATTAGCGCGACCCGGATTCTTCTCAGCAAGAAGAAACTGGATTTGCTTTGTCTTCTAAGGGAGAAAATACCAACGCCACCACAAAGCATCGTCATGTTCCAGAATACCCAACACCCTGAAGAAGTAACAAGGAAGAGTGAGGAACAAAGCTGGGGAGATACAGATCTCGGCACGCTTGGGTACGTGAAGAAACCCAGACCCTAGTACACTGGAGACCAAGGAAAACAGGGGCTCGATAAAGGTGTGTTTCTTTCCCCGCAAGAACTGCAGAGTACTCAATACTTACTCATTTTTAAAAAAAAAAAAAAGGTAGTATTAAGAAGGATCTCTCTCCCTTCAGGAGCTAAAACAGGCCACGTGGCTCAGCGCAGCCGGACCGCTGCCAAGAGCCTCACAAACATCACCTGGCTGCAGGACGCTCCGTCACTTGTGTCCCTCCCTCCCAGGCCTCAGAGTTCCCCCCCCCCCCCCCCCCAGCCCCCCTCTCTTGGCCCTGATCCTTCTGCGGCCCGCTAAGCCAGCAGCAGGTTGGTTTCTTGGCAGCACAGCCAGTGTCTCAACCAAACGTCCTCCGCTAATTAAAAATCAGCGCCCCGTTTCTCTAGAGAGAAGGCAGCAAGTAGCCACGCTCATCTCCGTGCACGTTACCGTTTCTTTTTCCTGCCGGGGCCCTGGGATGACCGAGGTGCTGCACAGTAACACTGCTCTCCCCCGCACTGCGCACCCTCGCCGGGCGCTTGGGCACCCAACAGCGCCAGAATCGCTGCTGCTGTTGGCTGCGAGTCAATCGGTTCGGTTTAGGCTCCGGCAAAGTTAACGCTCATTTTACTTACAGTCGCATCTCTGCTGGATGCGTACCGTCATCTTCTCCCATCACAATTACTCCTTTTAACTTCACGTTGCCCGTAAACCTGCCGAGAGACGCAGAAGCGGCGTTTTCATCTCCGTTCTCCCCAAATCGGCCCCGGTTACAGCAGCACGCAGACGTGCCTCATCCCCAGGGACACAAAGGCGAGGAACAAGCCCTGCCGGCAGCCAAAACGATGCCGAAGGAGGTCAGGGAAAGAACTTACGGGATGTTAAAGAGAAGCTCCTCATCATCGTCGCTTTCGACGAACTGGGGAGAGAGAGGAGCAGGTCAGGGCTGGCCCCGGCCGCGCAGGTACGCGGGTGTCGCACCGGGGGCTGGGGGAACACGGACCGGCGGGGCGGGTAACCTCGGAGGGGCTCAGGGGCAAGGCGGGGACCCACGACACCTCGCTTACTCCCGCGCCCCGGTCCCCTCCCGCCGCCCGGCTCTCCTCAGGCAGCGGC